GAAGGGCGAGAGTGTGGTTTGGTAGTGTAAAGACAGTGCATGTCCTTCCCAAGTTCTCCCGTGTTCTGGGTGGGGGAGATGCTGAATGAATTTAAATGGAACCTACCTCTGACGTGGAATTTCATGAGCGCGTGAAGGGGCTGCAGCCAGCACGAGACAGCATCCAGAGAACATGGCAGGATGGGGTGGGCACGTTCTACAGACCTGGCTGTGTTGGTTTTGCTTCCATGAAGTCATAGCAACAGAAGTAGCAACGGTCTCCATTCCCATGGAGGACTATGAAAGATGCAAAGCAAACTCTTACCGATGTCTCACACCTCCTTCACAGCTCCCCAGAATGACCAGTTGTTTGAAGCATTCTGGGCAGGTGTGAGATAGTCGTTAAGTTCAGAGAATCAGTTACACGGCTGACCTGGTGATTGGGATTGGAGCGGCCACGGTGGAGACAGCTTAGTTTGAAGTGTGTACAATTGGAGTGAAAAAACAAAAATCGCTTGAAATTCAGAGACTCCTTTCATGCTTTGGGAGAAAATAACCCCAGAGTCTCTCCAGCACGCCAAAGAGCACCGCCGCTAAGCTAAGGGTTAAATTCTGCATGCTGGGCGAGTTTACTGTTCTTCTGTTGTTTCATTAAAATGGTGTTTTATTGTTTGCCCAACTTTGTTTGCTCACTATTGAGATGATGAATGGGGAATTATATCTCATTGTGCACTCCCCTACCAGTTAATTGACTGAAAACTTCTCATGGACCACTGTCTGATTGGTTCATACTGAATGCAATAGAGCCAGAGCTTTGCAAATACTTCTACTGAGGAATTTCTTGGCAAGAAGCAAGCGTTTCTCTGAGAACAGCAAGGAGCTGACTCTGTTGTTCCTAAAGCTACCCTTCTGAAACGTGGTGTCTGAAGGAATCACCTAGGAAGCATGAATTACTTTTTCTTTTCTCTTTTTATTTGAAAGCCTCAGAGACAGAGAGAGACAAACTAAGATTTCCATCTGCTGACTGATTCCTCAAATGGCCCAGAAATTCAGAGCTATATTGAGTCAAAAGGAGGCTAGAACTCACTCTGGGTTTCTCCCATGCCAGTAACAGGAAACCAAGTACATGGCACCATCCATACCTTCTTCCAGAGTAAACATTAGCAGGAAGCTGGTATGAGGAGGGACAGTGGGGCGTAAACCGAGCTAGGCACTGATGTTTGAAGGCGAGCATTCCAAGCAGCATCTTAACTAATGGAGCAACGACCTGTCCCATCTTTGGAACTTTTAAATGCAGATTCTACTCCAGCAACTTTAGAGAGAGCCCAAATGTTACATTTACTTATGCAGCCAGTGCTTCTAGTTAGACTCGCACTACACACAATGGAACTTTTTAAAAAAGATTTTTTTAATTGAAAAGGCAATTTACAGAGAGAAGGAGAAACAGAGAGATCTTCCATTCATTGGTTCACTTCCGAAATGGCCGCAATGCCCAGAGCTGAGCTGATTCTGAAACTGGGAGCCAGTGATCTCCTATATGGGTGCATGGAGGACTATGAAAGATGCAAACTCATCTTAAACTGCTTTCACAGGCCACCCGCAGGACACTGGATGGGAAGTGGAGCAGCTAGGATGTGAACTGGTGCCCACATATGATATATATGTTTAAATAGCTTGGTGTCTCTGCGTGTGTGTGTGTTTGTGTGTACACACACTGATTTAGAAGACAAATCAGCCCATCAAATTGGGAGCTTAGGTGAAATCATTACTTGGCTTTCACCAGTGTGAACTTGAAAGACCATGTATGGGTTGTCTTAAGGAGCCCTGTCCACTCGGGTCATTGCACAAAGCAGCATTACAATTGCTCAAGTTGATGACCTTGGAAAATTACCTAAACTTAGTCCAAACTTCAGCTTTCCTGTCTGTAAAATGAGCTTAAATATAATGGCAATCTCTATCCCAGAGGGATTTTTTTTCTGTCAATGAAATCTGAGTAGTGTTCAAGCTAGATGTGCACTAAATGTTGAGCTCCTAAGTATGTCTGTAATTGGAGGAGGGCAAAAAGGAGCACTTCCTGTTTCTAAGTAAAGGACAAATACTTCCTGTTGATCTCTTAAGGAAAGGAGAAGCATTTCCTGTTGGTGTCTAAGTAAAGGACTCGTGCCTGCACCTTGCACTGGTGTTTTCCCTGGCAGAGGCCCAAGGGTTAATACTGCAAGAGGGTGTGGGTGGCTCCAGTTTAGATAAAGCCACATCCTCAAGCTTGCTTCCAGGCCCAGTAGCTTTTGTTCAGGTTTTTTTTTTTTTTAACCATCTCTTTCAAGTTTCAAGACTGGCATATGTTATTCAGTCATCTCCTGCCTGCCACCCCTCAAACACACACAAGCACTCACACACACCCCCCAAGAATTTTTACATTTTATATGCAGGCTTTCAAAAAGTCACCGGAAGTTTGAAGGGAAAGTAGAATTTGGTTTCTAACTTTGAAGTAGAGATTTCTAGAATTTTCTTCAGTTGGTGCCACACCTAAACTTCAGAGTATTTCTGAAATATTTGTTTTTCCCTTGGCCTTGAAAGGAATAGAAATGAGCCGGGAAGATGTTTTCCATTCATGGCCAGTAATTATAAAAGAAGTTTATCAGTGGTAAATGAAAGGTTCATCTGGCCATTTTAATGAGTGGGAGACATAGTAAAGTAATAATGCTGTTTATGTTTAAAATGTTCTGGTTTCATTTCCTCATATGTGAAGGAGATTGTTCACCTTGGAACAAAGTGAAGAAGTGATGCCTGTCCAAATCCTGACACTATATTACAAGTTGTTGTTGTGACCTTAGTACAGAGACCTTCAAGTTTTTTCTCTACATGGCCAGAGAACAAATATCTTCACTTTTCTGGGCCAGATATGATGTCTGTTTCAGGAACTTGTTTGGTTTGCTTTTTTAAATAATGCTTCAAATAAAAAGAAGGAAAAAAAATTCTTACATCATAGGGCTCTTTACAGCCCTGGGCCCTTGGGCCATAATTTATCACACCTTGCTCTAGAATCTGAAATTTCAGGAATATAATCTCACACCACAGATACAGAGGGTGGCATTGAGATCCCAACAGTCCCAGCCACCCATCTTTGTCACCTGCAGCCCCCAGAGAAGCCAGCTGACTTGTAGTTGCAAGGTAATTTGTGTTGCTACAGATATGGAAAGCTGAGACACATGGATGAAGCAAAGCCATTCTTTAGATAACAGAGGTGGAGTCTCAGGGATATTCTACTGCATTTTGAATGCTGTTTCATTGGTCCCTTACTTTAGCTCTCCAAGTTAACTCTTCGTTAGATAACAGGGACTATCCATATGTCTCCGCAAAATTGTACCACCATAAACTTAACCTTTAAAATTGTATTCATTTTTTGAAAGGAAGAAAGCATTGGTTTATTTATCTGCTCATTTGTTTATTTCATGATGATAAACAGCCCCTTATTCTTATTCTGGGTGTGCTTCGAGGGCAGTGCCACGCTCTTCATAGAATGAGACATTTGAGTGAATGAAACTGTTTTTGAGTAGCAGGTCTGCTTTTCATGGATACCATCAAGGACAGAACTTGGCAATAAGGTAATAGAGTTCTGACATTCTTTCTCAATAGAATCAGCCCAGCCAAGTTCTCACTGAAGCATAACTGCCCTTCACTGTCTCCTGTCCACTGTATGCTTCTATGTATGTTTCTCTTCCTAAGAGGAAATCTGTCTTATGAAAGCCAACAAGTGAGCCAAAGTGTGACGATGAAGACATTATACTTAAATAGCCAGCATAAGGCACTCCTCATCAACCCAAGGGGCTCACTGGAGTGTTCTCATTAAGAAAATCACGTGCTATCTTGCAGTTCTCTCATCTTGTAGCAATGTTTCCATTTTTACTATTAAACATCCCTGTTGCACGAAACCACAAATTCTATGCACAGTGAAAGGAGGAGTATCCACTGGAAATGAGGTAACCGACTTCTAGAGACACCTTTTCCAGATCCTTCTCCCCAAAGCTGGTGGTTCCTGACCACACCAGCAGTGTTCCACACTGGAGCTTGGAAAAGAGCAAAGACGATGCCATCACTATGGAAAGATTTTTTTTAAGATTTATTTTTATTATTTTTTTATTGGAAAGGCGGATGTACAGAGAGGAGAGACAGAGAGGAAGATCTTCCATCCGATGATTCATTCCCCAAGTGAGCGCAACGGGTCGATACTATGCCGATATCATTCCCAAAGCTTTGGGCCGTCCTCGACTGCTTTCCCAGGCCACAGGCAGGGAGCTGGAAGGGAAGCGGGGCTGCCAGGATTAGAACCGGCGGCCATATGGATCCTGGGCATGCAAGGCGAGGACCTTTAACCACTTGCGCCACCGCGCCGGGCCCCACTATGGAAAGATTTTGAAGCTAGCGTATGTGATGCTTTCTGAAGGCAAGAACTGTGCCATTCTTCCTGCATTTCTGGTACCTCTTGCCATGCCGTGAGCTCTGTTACCTCAGAGTAAATGCTTTGTCCTCAGTGTAAACGGGCTTCTACGTGCTATAACAGCATAAGAAGAAAGACAACAGTGCCTGCAGTGAGCGGGCAGAGCGTGCTCCCAAGTTCCTGGAGTAGATAGAGGAGAGAAAGATACAGAACCTGCAAGATGAGTCATTATTGTTTAAGTTGTAATGAATCGGTGCATAGGAAATTGCACAAGATACCATTACATAAGATGCTGTGCGTCGGTGTAAAATAAGGTGTTTTTCCAAGATTCCTTAGGCTTCCTTTATGGAGAGTGACATATATGCTGAAATTTGGTGGAAGGGTAGGGGATCCGAATAGAAGCCTAGAGGTGGGGAAGACAAGTGTATATAAGCATCGCTGAAATAAACATGCAGAATACAGTATTCACAAAGACCATGTGGATGCTAAAATCTAAATGAGGCACAAACTCATTTCCTGACAAGGGGAAGCTCTGGGTACCTACTAATACCAACTCCTTCTCTCTTTTCTTTTTCCATATCAGAATATACCACCAGCAGTCCTGACCTGTTGCTAGTGATATTCCAAGTGACAGGTGTCAGCCTTCTGCCACCCCTGGTAATCGCCATAGCCGTCATCATCATCTTCTACTGCTACCGTGTCCACCGGCAACAGAAGCTGAGCCCCTCCTGGGAAACCAGCAAGCCGCGGAAGCTCATGGAGTTTAGCGAGCACTGCGCCATCATTCTGGAAGATGACCGCTCTGACATCAGCTCCACGTGTGCCAACAACATCAACCACAACACGGAGCTGCTGCCCATTGAGCTGGACACCCTGGTGGGTAAAGGTCGCTTCGCCGAGGTCTATAAGGCCAAACTGAGGCAGAATACGTCTGAGCAGTTTGAGACTGTGGCTGTCAAGATCTTTCCCTATGAGGAGTATGCCTCCTGGAAGACAGAGAAGGACATCTTCTCAGATATCAACCTGAAGCATGAGAATATCCTGCAGTTCCTGACAGCCGAGGAGCGCAAGACCGAGCTAGGGAAGCAGTACTGGCTCATCACCGCCTTCCATGCCAAAGGCAACTTGCAGGAATACCTCACTCGGCATGTCATCAGCTGGGAGGATCTGCGCAAGCTGGGTAGCTCGCTGGCCCGGGGCATTGCCCACCTCCACAGTGACCACACCCCCTGTGGGAGGCCCAAGATGCCCATTGTCCATCGGGACCTTAAGAGCTCCAATATCCTGGTGAAGAACGACCTGACCTGCTGCCTCTGTGACTTTGGGCTCTCCCTCCGCCTCGATCCTACCTTGTCTGTGGATGACCTGGCTAACAGTGGGCAGGTGAGTCGGAGCTGGTGCTGCTTGTGCCTGCTCTCACTCTTCCTCTGGATTCACATCTCATGCACCTTTGCCTTAAGTAATCCTGAATTGTTGCCTAGAGAATCTACTTGAAGTAGGACGTCCACTCTAAGAATGACCCACTCTCTCTTGCCCGCCTGTTTTTGCTAGTGTTTAATATTCACATCATGCCTAACTCAGAACAAATGTTTTTCTCCACGAGCCTGTCTTCAGTTCTTTTCTGATTATAACTAGTTTTCTTTGTGTCAAATACTTCTAGCACTTTATCTGTGTCTCTTAAGGTTGTATTCAGTCCTTTTCTACTCTTCTGTCAGTTGATCTCTTTTCACCGTCTTTAGAGATGTTCACCGCCTTGCCCCAGGTGGTGTGTATGTGGTCTCCTAAGGCATTTAGCCCAGTTGTAACATGTGCCAATGATGTTTGTGAATAAGGGAATAAAACCACTTTTGAGACCTTCTCAAAGACCGAAACGGGCTTCTTTTTGACCAAGGACATATATATTGGAACACAAGTTGACATTTCCATGACATCTGTTGTGAGGCTGAACCCTGTGTTTTTGCACAGTAGTGACCACCAAGAACATTGCCATGTCCTGGAGCCCAGTAACAGAGCGGGCTTGGGGAGTGCTCAGTTGCTGTTCACTCAGGCCTCTGTATCCATGACAGCACATGCACTGTTGGGGTAAACGTGTTGCAACATGGAGGAATTCAAGTGCCAGGGTAATGAGTCATGCAGTGACCTATTAAAAAGAAAAATGTCTTCTAATACTTGCCAGTAAGAAACATTCCTTGGAAAGATCTAATCAGCTGGCTTAACCCTTCTTAGATCCTTGACAAGGTAGAGTTTCAGTATAAAATTGTCCATGTAATATTAAACATTTAAATCATTCATTTCCTAGAAATATTTTTGTGCTCTCTTTTGCATTCCATATTTGCTTATTTATACTGGTGATAATTAAACAGTTCTTCATCTTAAAACTATATAGCACATCTATCAAAACTGTAAAGTGATCTCGGTTCCCCCCACCCTGGAGAAATACTTTTATTTTTATTTCTTTAAAAAGTCAGAGTTACCGTTAGAGAAACATATACGTAATAAAAGAGAGAGATCTCCCATGTACCTGGTTCTTTTCCTAAATGGTCTGGACCAGGCCTAGCGCAGGAGGCAGGAGCTTCATCCAGGTCTCCCAGGTAGATACAAGGGTCAAAGCACTTGAGCAGTTCTCCGCAGCTTTCCCAGGCATCTTAACGGGGAACTGCATCCAAAGTGAAGCATCCAGGTGTCGTGCAATGGCTCAATGGCTAAACCCTCCCCTTGCAAGTGCTGGAGTCCAAAATAGGCACTTGTTCACGTGCTGGCTGCTTCACTTCCAATCTAGGTCTCTGCTTGTGGCCTGGGAAAACAGTAGAGGATGGCCAAAAGCCTTGGGACCCTGTACTCATGGGGGAGACCCGGAAGAAGCTCCTGGCTGCTGGTTTCAGATCAGCTCAGTCCCAGCCGTTGGGGCCATTTGGGAAGTGAATCAGCAGATGGTGGATCTTTTTCTTTGTTTCTCCTTCTCACTGTAAATCTGATCAGCCTTTCCAATAAAAACAATTCTTAAAACAAAAAAGTGGAGCAGCCCAAACTCAATCTAGCACCCATATGGGATGCTACTGTTGCGGGTGGCTATTTAACTCTTAATAACAGAACATTGGCCCTGGAAATGCTTTAATTTAGTAGAAATTTCATGAACTAATACTATACCTGTGGCCTACTGTTTTAGTGCTGTGGGAGTGAACAAAGATTAACACACAGTCCTTAAGTGATAAAAACTGGTCATAATTAGTGATTTTTACTCTAATGGTTTGGATTTTCAGGAAAGAAGGAAATATGTAATTTGCAAAAGTAAAAATAAATATCCAAAATGTTGCAGTTATTATCCGGGTTACCTGCAAGAATATTATTGAATGACATGATGACCTGTAATATGATCTGTATCTCTGATGCTTGCCACTTCCACGTTTTGACATGCTTTTTTTTTAGATCTCTAAAGAGTTTTCAGGGGAACAAAGTCTATCTTGAATGGGCGTTGTGTCTTGCCGTACAAGTCTCTTGATTTGAAACAGCGTGGCAATTTTTCCTAAGATCCTGTGCATATTCAGGGGGACTGTGTGAGCTGTCTTGTGACAATAAAGATGTGGCTGCAACTAACTGGTGGTTGCCATGTCTGTCTTTGCGCTAGGTGGGGACTGCAAGATACATGGCTCCCGAAGTGCTAGAATCCAGGATGAACCTGGAAAATGTGGAGTCCTTCAAACAGACTGATGTCTACTCCATGGCGCTGGTGCTCTGGGAAATGACGTCTCGCTGCAATGCCGTTGGGGGTACGTAAAGGCCACTGCCAAAGTGCCCTGGAGAAACTGGATTCCAGGGGTTGCAAAGTAATTCAGCTATTCGAGAGCTATGTGGAGTGGAGTGTCATGTTTGGAATGCCATCCTTCTCCGTGACTTCTTCCATTGAGTTCTGTACAATTTTTTTTTTCTTGACATATCTTTCCCCACAATTTAACTATCTAGCAAGAGATGATCACGAATAGTGGGGATGCAAGAATGAATCCCACCAAATGAATATTTAGATATGCATCTGATTTTCTTTCCTTTCTGAAGTTTTCCAGAATTGCAAAATGTAGGGAAAAACGTTGACTCGAAAATTCACTTACATAGGCGTGGCTTTCTTTTGTGCAGATACAGCAAGCAGAATGGTTTGATACATTTGTTTAGGTTGTGAAAGGTCTGACAAAGTAAGGTCCATCAAGGAATGCCACCCCTAAAGGGGTAATTGTCCAAGGCTAAATAGGAGACTTACTTTTCCTGATCCCAGCACAGTAGCTGAGCTCTACCCTTGTAAGTGTCCTCCATTGGTAGTTTCCATCAGGGTCTTGGGTCTCACCTTCCCAGCCTTAATTTGCCTGGCAACCCGGTGAAGCCAAGCTCCCTTTAAGGTTGCATGACCTTTGAATTCATCTTTAAAATTCTGTTTGTATATACTTCTTATACATTTTATAGGATTGGTACAGTGTTTCAACATACAGTGCAAATAAATCCAACCAGGCAACCTGCCTTTCTATTTCCTTGTCTTTTCTTCATATGTGCAGCTTACCAGCACCCTTTCCCCACTTGTTTTCATACATTTATCAACACACCAGCACCTGTTCCTTGTGTTGTGTATCCTTGAATGCCCTGTATTCAATTTCTTCCTATACTTCTAAGTCTGTAGTTACCGCTGTTCTGATTTCACATAGACTATTTGTAACTTCCACATACAAATGAAAATAGGTGGTATTTGTCTTTCTATGTCAGGTTTTTATTTCTTTACGAAGTATTGACAATAACCAAGGTTTAGGATCAGTCTGGTTGTCCACTACATAAAGAAAATGTACTATCTGTACACAATGGAATATAAATCACCCAATTCTATTTGACTTTTGGTTTTATATTAATTGTAACTTACAAGAGTCATTGCAAAAGAGTACAAAGTTTCCACATAAAAAAATACTTCAAAAGAGTTCATGGAGAACTGAAATTAAAAGGTGTATATTTTGACGCGCAACTTTTTGAAATGCATGAATAGTATTTGTGTATTGCACCTTTGCGATAGACGACTTGAAGACTCCTTGCATTCCACCCCAGCTTTACCCAGTGTTAGCATCGAGCCTAAACCGTAAGGAATGCCTTACGAGCAAATGAGCGCTGGTGCAGTGCTCGTAATTAATTCACAGACGTTATTTGAACTTCCACCCTGCCCAGGACTCCACACTGGCTCTTCCATCATTTCCTTTCTCTCCTTCACCCTGGGATAGTCCTGTAGGCTTGTTAAGAGAGAGCAATTTAGACCAATTGTATTATAGATCATCTCTCACTTTGGGATCTCTGAGGTTTTCCTTATGATTATATTGAGAACATGTGATGGGCAGCTCTTCTCAATGCATCATCTCAAAGAGGCCCAGATGTTAAGTTTGATCACTCCATCAACGTTGTATCTGCAGGTTCTCCCATCTGCAGAGATAGTGGGTTTCTGTTTATAATTAGTACATATGTTGTGGGAGCACACTACACATCTGTTTTGCAAAGATGCCATAATCTCAGCCAGTGGTTTTTGAGGGTCTACCCACAGTGCTTTGCCCAGGGCCGTGATTACTGTAGCAATGCATTGCTTCATTCTTCACATGTCTGCTTCAGCTGAAGCTGGGCCAAGCAGACGCCAGAAGGTGGGAACACATTGTGGGTTTCCCATATGAGTAGCTAAGTCCCAAGAACTACAGCCGTCATCTGCTGTTTCCAAAGGTGTGAATTGGCAGGGAGCTGAAATTGGAAGTGGAGCTGGGACTTAAGTCCAGGTGTTCTATCCACATCCCATAGCATGGTCTTAAATGTTGTACCAAATGCCCACACAATGTATTTATTTTATTGGATGGGTTCCCAACATGGCCATTATTTGTGTTCTTGCTCATATTCCTACCACTTTGGAACATAGCACCAAGCTCTGTTTGTTGGCATCCCTTCGGGGTTTTGAGTCTTGCTTCCTTCTAGAACATATTTGGCAAGTCTGTAGGGTGCAGCTAGGTTGCCTCCCACCCTCTGTGTTCCTGGGCCCCTCTTTGAGGACCACACTGCCAAGTCTGGCCAACACTGTTATTTTCTGTTTTCCTGCTTGAGACTTCCTCCCCCACAGGACTTCCAAAAGTAACTGTTTTTCCTTGCACAGTGAAATCCGTTTTAAACAAGTTGCAGCCCCTGAGGATAATTTTCTGCCTGAAAACTTGGACAGCCCAAAAATGAATGTTTAGAATGGTGTAAGTTGAGACTGCTGTGATGCTGCTGTTTTCATTGTACATTCACCTAGATTTCTCTGTCTTTTCATGTCCTGTCTCATCCATTATTCTATAAACATGAGCGGGGGATGGTGTCTCTGTCTTTCCTCCTGTCAGTGCAATCAGCTTATTTGGGCCGAGGGTGAGCTTCCTACTTCCATCATCTGGGACTGAAACCCTTTGCTGTTGGTCTTTGCTGAGTGTGGAAGAATCAAGACGAGTAGGGAAGAAGTGAGTTCACCCACATTTATGAGATCTAATGAAAATAAATAAATCTAAAACCAAATGCAGCATAAACAAATTTTCCTACGGAAGGAACAGCACCTGGATTGTTCAACTCATCTCAAGAAACCTTTCAATAACCTTTCTGATAAGAACAGAAGGTCTTGGGGGAATTGAAAAGAGGCCATCCCAGTTTTGCTTGCTTTGATCTTAATCCCACAGCCCAGTTTCTATCATCTCGGCTTGATCTGCCTTCACTTGGGTCCTGGTGCACAGCTCTCTGCTTGATGAAGTGTGGAGATGCATGGACCCACTCTTGTCGGATGGTCCCCTCTGCCTGTGTAAACCATTCTTTTATTGACTTCTTTTCTTTGTGTCTTAAAAACATGGCAGCAGGTGTAACCCTGTCTTCCTGGGGGAGAGTTTCCATTCATAAAGTCCCATGGGAAGTCCATGTTACCTCTTGTGGGGGGTGCGGTGTGCCTCTTCATGTTGTCCTCATGGTGGCTGTTGTAGAAACCCCCCTGTGGTGGTCCTGACCTCAGGACACTTGCAGCCCAATGGAAACAGGTGCTCATTTTTTTTCTTCCTTTGATTTTGATAGGTTTATATGTGCAGTTAGATTTTTGTTTTCCTGTTAGAAATAGGATATGAGTTTGTTACAGTGGTTAGAATGTTGCTTGGGATGCCTGAAGCCCATATTTGAGAGCCTGGCTTCCAGCCTTGGCTCTGCTTCTGGGGCTAGCTTCCCAGCACTGTGCCCCGAGGAGTCCGCAGTGATGGCTCAAGGACTTGGGGTCCTTGACTTGGGGAGACTGGATTGAGTTCTGAGCTCCCAACTTTGGCCAGGAATGAATCAGGAGATCGGAGATCACGTCTTGTCTGTCTCTTTCTCTGCCTCTGATTCCCTGCCCTTCAAAGAAATCGTTTCTTTTAAAATTTAAAAATAAAAGAATATATCCTTCTGGGTGATGTGCAACTTTCAAGTGGAAGTGAGAGGGAGAAGGGTCAAAGGTGTTGCTGCTCACGGCCAGCCTCGTTTCTAAAAAGGAAACGTGGGATATGTGTTCCTTTGCGTGGTGGATTGCAGGGTGGTTTTCCACTCCACATCATAGGTCAACCAGTACTCTGCCCAGGTGACTCTCAACAACAGAATATCTCTTACCCTCCTTCTGTGGTTGGGATGCAGCCAGAGCTCTTCAGGTCTCAGCTTCACTGGGCTCCTCCCTACTCTATCATGCTGCAGTTGTCATGGTGGCTGTCTGAGTTCTCACTCTAGGCCTATTCAAGCTGGTTACCAGGGCAGCAACACCAAAGTGGGCTTTCAGAGCTAACGGCTCGGGATAAACTGGATGTCTGGATCAGGGGAGTACAGTGCTAACTCATGGCAGGAAATGAAGCTTAGGTCAATTCTGTAGGGAAAGAAGAAGATCCCAGGGTCTCGTTGTGCATACTGCTTTCTCAGCCGGCCTCTCTTCTGTGCTAACACGTGCACAGGAAGCACGGTACGGATGCTACACCACTGCCTTTAGGCAGTGACATTGGCAGTCATTTGGAGCCCAGTAGGACAGCCTCATTCAGCCCCAAATCCCACATGAGCATTTAAGGGATGGGCGGTAACAGGCCAGAAAGTGCTCTCCTGACGAAGGGTTTTTGGTGGAGGGAGAATTGACCCAGATGAAGAAAGGCACAGAAATATGATGACTCCACCAACGGTTGATCAATCAACTCATTCAGCCTAGCAAGAGCACCTTGATTTGTACCATGACTAGCACCATTTTACAGATGAGACCAGTGATGCTTTAGGAATCAGGAACCAGGAATCAAAGATCAAATTATAGCCTAGAGGCTCTAACCTTCTGGTGCTGTGCTGTCTTTTACCATTGGAGAATGCATTGCACACACAGTGGGCTGCGACTTACATTATTATCATGGATGGGGCACTTAGAGCTCCATCCAGGTCTCCCACCTGGGTTGCAGAGTCTTCAGCAATTGGGCCACCTTCTGCTGCTTTCTCAGGTACAGTACTTGGGAGATGGAGCAGAAGCAAGGCAGCTAGCACTCAAACAGATGTTTCTGTACACAATGCTGGTGTTGCAGCTGGTGGGTTAAGCCACTGAGCCGTAATGCTGCCCATATGCAGAGCCATTTTGGAAATACATGGGAGAGACAGTCATATGCAGGGGGTGCATTTAGAGATGACCTTTCTTGCAGATGTTGGCATCAATTGATTTCCTTTTCTTCTCTGGAAGAATTTCTGTGAGCAAATTCCTAAGGCTGTTCCTTTCTAT